ACTGCTGCTTCTGTTGATGTCAGTATGATCTAGAAATAGTAAATGTGCTATGACAGGGAAGGCTGACACCTGGCAGCCAATTTGTTCAAATTCTCCCATGCTTCTTTGTATTGGTGTGGCAGTTCTAAATTCAGACTGGTAGCTGCCTCTGGTGTTTGGAAGGAATATTTTCTCTCTTGCCACTGAGGGTAATAAATTCGCCAATGTTATCTAAACGATCCACATAAATGAAAGATTAATGACCGCTAAGTCAAGACAGTGTTATAAGATACTATTAATCCAAGTCTCAGGATCCCCTAAGCACTCTGCATTATCATCTGCCTGTGATGCGATGAGACGCCCCAGCATTCACATGAAGGATGGAAAAGAAAGAACTGGAGGAAGAAAATAGAGAGGTGGTCAGGGTGGCCAGAGCACAGGCCTGAAGTATCAATCATACCTGTTCTGCTTTGAGCAATTGCCGCTGTGGCTGCTGGGTTGTGCAGATTTCATCATGGTGTTGGTCATCAGTTTTGGGGGATAAGAATTAGCCACGAAGAATAGGGAAGCAAAGTCCATTAAGCCAAATAACCAAAGACTTTGACTGACTAACAGAATATTCCATACTTGGAGACACAAACCTTCGTTCCTGACATAAAAGGCCATTTTCATTGTCTTTACATTGACCACCAATATTAAGTACAAACTGTGGATGAAACTTTAGCCACTGGTTAAGTGCCAAAGATATGTTTTTTTTAAGAGTTAGTAATTTTAACAGGTAACTTTCAGAAGCTGGGAAAGAGTACACATGTCCCCCATCTGTTTGTCCCCTTGTAAGTTGTCCAGAAAGAGTTTCAAATAACTGAAACTGTGAGGCGTGACCGGATAATTGCTAACATGTGTTGATGAGTTTATCATATGCCTGGCATTGTCTAATATGTTATACGTATGTTAATCTTATTTCTTACAACACCTTTATGAAGTGCATGTTATTGTTCCCACTTTAAAGATGAGAAAACTGAAGCTTAGATTGAAATAAGTTGCTTGAGGTCACATAGCTGGTCACGGTGACTCTTAATTTGACGCCAAGCAATCTGACTGACTACAGAACCCCAGCTCTTAACCACTCTTCTGTGAAAACAAGCAATGTCTACAAAATTAAGCTGAAAGAGAGAAAATCCCCTCTTCTAAAAGTGGGGAAAAAATGACTTATTCATAGGCTATGGGTAGAACTGAGGAAGATATGTAAGGTGCTTAGAACAATGCCTTGCTCCCTAGTGTCTTTTAAAAAATGTTAGGTATCATCATCGTCATTACTATCTTTTAGGTGAAGTTCACTTGTTCTATATGCTTCAGCTTGCCTTATTTTCATAGGGGGCTTGCCTCCTGGGAAGGTGGCATAGTGCCTTGGTGAATAAGCACAGTAATTGCAAGCCTTGGAGCCAAACCCGGGTGGCACTTTGAAGATGGGATTAAAGCACTAGCATGTAGCTGCCAAGTATCCAGCAGAGCTGGGATCTCAGTGTTTGGCAGTTTTTCTACTCCAGTATTCTCTCTGAAAGCAAGATTTTTTCCAGTGATGTATTTTATGAACATGTCAAAATGCCACATGTTTCTGTGCTTTTCTGATAAGCAAAACATTTAGAATCTGTGCTCTGTCACCTTTAAATGCTAAATATTTGGGTTTTCAAAAAAAGAATGTACCTCACCTCTTACTTGAGAGCACCCTGTAAGTTTATAGTTGCAGGAATTATGATTTCCTTTGCTTGTGTGTGCACAGAGCTTGAGGCCAGGGTGTGACTAGGCCTTCAGTATTTAAAGGGTGACATGCAGTCAGTTTCTTCACTGGCTTGGAAAACAGCTACTTCGTGGTTATTATGGATGGAGTGTGTGTGTCTCCCCTTAAATTTGTACATTGAAATGCTACCCACAATGTGATGGTATTTGGAGATGGGGCTATTGGGAGGTAATTAGAATTAGATGACATCATAATGATGGGGCCCTCGTGATAGTATTAGTGTCTTTATTGGAAGAGGCACCAAAGAGCCCAGTGGGCATAGGAGACAATAGAACTGTAATGGCTTCAAGCAATCACAGCCCTCTCCCTAGGGTCAACAGGCCTTTTTATTTATTTATTTTTTTATTTTTTTGAGGTTAGTGAGTGAGGGGAGGCTGGCAAGAGGCTGAGTATGAGCTTAGAAACAACAGTACCATCATGCTTCGAAGATCAAGAGGAACATGGAAGATGATTACCAGACCTACATTTTTGATATTTTTCAGTGAGATCATCCCAATTAAATGATGAATTTTTGCCTCAGGAATGTTGGTTTTTATTCAGAAAAATCTGATATGAAGACAGATTAAAAGAAAGTCTAGGGAAAGTAATGGGATTAATCTACTGTGTTTTAAAAAATTAACTTCCCTTTTTGGAGTCCATTTATATGAATGCTAATAGGATTGACTTGGCTCCTTAGCAGAAGCTCTGAGTTCCTCAGCATCACTTTAGTCAAAGTTGTTAGGATAATAGTGTCAGGGCCTTTTGATCTTGCTGATTAACATGGAGCTTGGCTTACCTGATTATATGACTGCCAGAAACTGTGCTTAGGTCTGTTAATAAAGCATAATAAATTCAAGTGACACTTCCTTGGGTCATCCATCCTAGAACTGTTGTATTTTATTATTTGAAAATGAGGCTCCCTGTTTGCATACTGTAAAAATTCAAGTGCATAATTTACTTTGATTTTAAAAATTAATCTCCATGTTGCTTTTTCCAGTTAAGAAATGAAGCCCTATGGTACTTCAACCATGGATAATTCAGCAATCCACTCAGTTAATGTATATTACATGGCTGTACCATGCACAGGCCATGTGCAAGGTACTGGGGATACTGTGTGAAACATAAAAGGGAAGGGCCCAACCCCATGCTTATTTGTCTTATCTATGAGATATAAGGCATTTTTCAACTTTGACCTCAGTCAGTCTCCTTGCCACATGTTGCTGGGGCCAGGACAGAGAATGCAAGGCAGTGAGGCAGATGACACCACTTGAAGGAGCAGGGGGAGGAAGGGCTGGCATTGTGCAGTCTATGCTGAAAGAAAGCAAACCCACCCTTGCAATACAGTCAACAGGCTTCAATATTAAAAGAAACTTTGAGCATTTGCAAACAGAATGACAGAACTGTCTGCTTTGATACAAAAATATGTCACCCCAGCTATACAGCACTGTACAAGAGTGTTGGGTCAGACTGACTGAAGAAGATCAGCAGAACCTGAACAGTGAAAGGAAACCATCTGACGTGGTCCCAGGCAAGACAGTTTCCAAACCAAATTGATTCAATTCACCAATACCCAACAAGGGGAGATTGGAAATTTATATCAGAACCTACTGTACATAATTTGCAGTTTACTATATGTAATTATACTCAGGTAAATTGTAGACTAATGTATATATGTTCTCATTTTGTAATACAAATTGAATCATTTTAATGGGTCCCCTCTTTCTGTCATTAAAAGTCATGTATTAGGGAACACTTTGTGAAGTATATGATTGTCTAACCACTATGCTCTACACGTGAATCTAATGCAAAACAATATTGAATGTAAACTATAATTGAAAAGTAAAATTTAAAGATCTTTCCCTCAAAAAAGCCATGTTTTAAAGACTCACCAAAATGAAAACTCCACAGGCAGGGATGAAAATCTACAGCGCTCACTACTGTACCTGCCGCACCAAGCTCTCTGTATACACCTTTGTCATGTTTCCTAGCTGCTCAGACCTTTTGACCTTGTGTTTAGAAAAGGTCTCTCCTTACACACCCCACCTCCCCAAAGTAGCAGCCAGAAACCAAATTTCCCAGCCTTTCCTGCAGCTGAGGGGCACGTGATCTGGGCTCCACTATCTGCATCCACAAGGGACTTCTCTATTCAGTAGTGAGCAACCCAAGAAGCAGGCCTTACCCAAAACCAGTGTCTTCGGGTTTTTTTAGCAGCAGAAGTAGGGACTGAAACATCAAGTTTTCTCTTTCACTAAGCTTTCCCCAAACATTCCCCACCCCTCTCCATGAGGCTGAGTTAGATACCTCTCCTCTTGGTCTACTTCTTTATTGCACTTTCCAATTGTATTATAATTATTAGCGTATTTTATTAGGTTGCAATCTTTAGGCTGTAATTTAGGTTGCAAAATTAGGTTGTAATATTTAAGGTAATACTAGCTGCTCTCACAAGCAAAGCTAAAATATACGGTGAATCAAACACAAAAGTTTTCCCTTCCTAATCGTATAAAGTCAAAACAGGGTGCCTGGGATCAGCAGACAGCCCCGCTACAGGAGATAATTCAGAGGTCCTGACATCTTCCATCTGTGGCTTCACCATCTGTCCCACATGGCTTCCCAGGGTGCCATGCCCATTTGAACAAGGTCTGAGGCAAAGGGCATGGAGAATCACACACGGGGGGGGTTATGAGCTAGGCCCTGAAGTGATGCTTATCACTTCTGTTCACATTCTATCGCTCAGAGCTCAGCCCCATGGCTACCCACCACTGGCAGATACAATCTAGCTTCTTGCAGCTATTTCAGGTAAGAGTACACCAACACCAGCAAATTATGATAAAAGTGTCATATCTTAACTTTCTATCTTTTCACTTGCTTCCTTCTTCCTCAACTAAAAAAACAGTTACAGTCAGAAGCCGCATCATATAGTATCCTTGTGTAAATCACAGACAGATGTGGCTCTGACCTGGATTCCCTTTTCTTGGCTCTCCAGTGCTTTTTTGCTAAACATTTCTGTTTGTGAGGGCATGTACTCATTGGATAGTTATTTCTGAATGCTTTGCCTAAAACTGCTTTTATCTCCAGGCTCCCCATGTGTTAATTTGAAAGGGAAAGTGCTTAGCATGCAGCCTGGGCACCACATGCGTTCTGACTAGCTGGCACATGGAAGCGTTAGGATGTTCCAAATCATTGCCTACTGGCCACCCACAGGCTAATGAAGAAAGCATCTTTTTCTTTTCCCTGCTTCTCCTAGGAGCCTTATCAGCGGCCAGGGAGAGCTGGGAATACGACTCGGGTGCCAGGGACCTCCAGAGCCCAGACCTTCAGAGTCAGTCAGCACTACAGAAGCTTCTCGAGTATGGTGGGAGCTCTTTGCACCAGCAGCCTGCTGCCCTCCACAGACTGCTCACACAGGCCCCTCATTTTGGCAGCTCTGTAGGAGGAAGCTATCTAGAACTGGCCAACACGGTGAGTACATTCTGGTTCACAGAACACGTCTTTAGGCCTGTGTGTATTCCAATGCAAATATTTTTATTTTGAGCTCCAGGGAACATATCAGGTGTTGTCATCTTTATTTATCTAATAAACATTGTACTGGTTCCAGCATTGCCAATAATGCTAAGTGCTGCAAACCCTTATGGTTGGTGACTTTACTCAAGAGCAGAATAGATTCCTAAAGTGTTTTTGGTCCATAACTTGTACAGACTTAATTACTAGAATATCAGTAATAGCTTTTCCACAACTAGAATACTTCTGTGTTACCAGACATTACAAATTAATAGTATATAATCCTTTCTGTTCCCTAATTTGGACTTTATTCATTTGAAAACCAAAGAGGACAGTAAGTTTGATTTTGTTCCTGTTTGTACTTATAAAATATTTTCTGTTGGAAACTGTGGCACAGCTTAGAATTTAATTTTGCTTAGTTTAACCTTCCCTTTTACTTCAGGATGAATCTTTACCACGAGGACCTCTGGGTGAAAAGCCATTGTGTTCCCTTTTAAGTTAGCTCTGGGGAACGAGAGCGAGTGGGTGGCTGATGGCCTCGGCCATTGTGGGGGACGTGCATACAGTTTATAAATTGAAATTGCTATTCAGTCATGGGAAACATTCATACACCTACCTTGCTTCTTGACACTGAAGTTTGAATGGTGGAATAAATATCTTAACAACTTCACTTATCTTATGTATAGTTACAGTCTGTTTTTATGTAGAGCAGTGGTTCTCAGAAATTTTGTGTTTGCGGAACATTTTCTAATTCAGACATTTTTGGTGGCATGTCTGAAGGAACTAACAATTCTACATATGCCAGCGATAATTAAAATACAATCATTAGACAAATCCCAATTAAAGAACATGTTATAAAACACCTGACCAGCGCTCCTTGAAACCGGCAAGGACATCAAAAGCAAGAATAGCCTGAGAAACAGAAACTGTCACAGCTAAAAGGAGCCTAGGAAGATATGAAAACTGAATGTAATGTGGTCCCTGAATGGGAAATTAGGTACAAACTAAGGAAACCTGAATAAATTATCGACTTTAGTTAATCATGTATCTATACTGGTTCATTAATGGTGACAACTATACCGTAATAATGTAAGATGTTAATAATAGGGGAAACTGGATGTGAGGCATATGAGAATTCTGTCCTCTTTTTGCAACTTTTCTGTAAATCTAAAACTATTATAAAATTTAAAATATACTAAAAACACACATGTACACACAGTTACTCCTAGGGTATGACTATGTCTCATGCAGGCTGTACAAGCGCCCGTAGTTGTTGCACTGGCAGTCACTTGGTCACCGTTGAAAGACATTCTTGCACATTTTAAGCAGAACCATGTACTCCCCTAACCTTGCCTTCCTGCGTGCTCAGGAGACGAGGCAAGCATCAGTAAATGGGCCATCTTTCTGAGATGTGGGCTTGGACTTAGGCTGTGCTGTTACACATAACTTGCAGCAAGTTGGACTTTCCACTGTACTATGTCAGCTCAGCCTTTTTCGAAACGAACATGCGAGAGCAGTATGGGTTATAGGAAGAATCAATTCCTCAAATTTATTTTGATCAACGTTGACATTCATCAAAACACGTCGATCAAAATTTAGTGGCACCTGCTGTGACAGATTCAGGTTTCATGGACCACGAGTTTTCTGCAACAAACCTACCATTGAAAACTGCAGGAGTTGGCTGTTTCCTACCTCTGTGTGGCTCTTTGGTTCTTAGCCTTTTTCAGTAACCTCTTGAATTTCATTCTGTTCTTCCATCTCTCCTGGTCAGAGGCCAGCTCATCCCTGAGCTTCCCACAACCAGGTCCTCTCTGTGTATTATTGGCGAAGCTTTGAGACTGATGTAACTACCTGAGATGGCCCCTGCCAAAGGCAGTGTAGGAAACAGTCCTTTAAATGTCAAGCACCCAGCTCAGGCAGGAGTTTTCACGTTACTAAAATTCATGAACTACACATGTACAGTTTGCACACTTCTGTATATATGTTTATAAAAGCTTATGACAAGCACATCGTCAATGACGGTGGCTGGTCATTGATATACATGGAGTAAGTAAAACAAAAACCAAAAAAAAACCCCCCAAAAACCTATAACTCCACAAAGAAATAAAAAATGTTGCACATACTCACTTAAGATGATCTCTTGGTGAGAACAAGACTATAAGTGCAAATATAGGCGTTGAAGTCCCGTGATGGTGATTACATTATTTATTTTATCACTGAATTGAAAATAAAAAAAATTAAAATACTGTGTACACTCGCAGACCCTCGATAACGTTCTATACCCTGTGGGAGGGTGCATTTTGAGCCCCACTGCTTCACCTTTCCTGTAGTTTCATCATTTGTCACGTGACTAACGTCAGAGTCCTTCCCTCCCACCCCCCGTCAAAGATGAGAAACAGTAAATGATCGTTGCTTTAGCCATTGTGCGTAGTGTGGTTTGTTTCATAGTAATAGTTGATGCAGGGCAGGCTCACAGGGGTCCATGGAGCCCAGTTTGAGAAATATTCCTTATCAGTAAGCAAATAACTTCTCTAAACTGCATGCTTGGGCAATGCCTTCACTTACATACTCACATGAAAAATCATTTATGTTCCTTCTAAACCAAATGCTAGACTAATAAAATTAAGTTCTGTTCTCTTTTTTTAACTTTTAAGAGCAAAAGGCATTTTATCAGTGTCCAGTTTGGAGAAAGAATGCACACAGTAGTTCACACAGGAAAAGTTTGACATAAAATTTTATTAACTAGTAGCAGGGGATCACCTGCTAAGAAGTAGAGAGGAAACTAATGAAAACTGGGGTAGCAAATGTAAAAGCAACCACTCCTAACACTGAGGCACGGTACCCAAGGAAGAAACAGATGTAGGAGAGGGCTCTCTCCTCACCAGACAACACTGACAGGGGCCCGTGGCTGGCAGAGAAGTTCCCCGAGATGCCACAGGCCAGGGCTGGAGAGCAGGAGACCAGCCCTCCAGAATGTCAGCCCAACTTGCTAGGATGCCGCCCGCTGGGGAGACTGTAAGACTCTTGGAGCATCACTAAGAAAAGCGCCCACTGAGGCACCAGAGGAATTCCCTGGGAAGCTGCCTGCTGCAGTGGTGGCAAAACCCACAGAGAAGTCTCCCAAATGGTACCACCGAAACTTACTAGGGGTGAGCACCACTGGATGTCCTGGGCTACTGGCTTCCACCCACCACAGGAGCAAGCAGGCCTGCACAATAGCACCAGGAATTCCCTTCTACTCCAGTGTTCCTCCAGTGCCCCCTATTGACGAGGGGGAAATGATTACAGGATCTGTCTTGGGTTTCAGAAAGCAAAACGTGCAAAGGTGGATTTGGAGATAAGAGGCAATAAATTAATAACTGACACAAGCATTTTTAGAATTGAGAAACTTCTGGGAGCTTCCTACACAAGCTTCTACCATCTAAGCACCTCTTCCTTTTCCTCTACTAGCAAATACTTGCCTCTTCTCCTTCCAAAGACAGAGGATATTACGACTTTGAGGCTTGCCATGCAGTTCAAAATACAAAAGCAACATGGTGATATATGTATAAGCTACAGTTTTATCTGAGAAGCAGAATGGCTACACATGTATAAAGTAAAAGGTTTATTATAAGGGAGAGACCTTAGACAAATGCGGAAGCTGTAGAGCAATCTATGCAGGCTGTTGATTCACATCTTGTATGAAGCCTGAAGTTACTGTAAGTCTAGCAGATAAGCAGATAAGAAAGAAGGCCAGGTGTAGAGGAGAGCAAGGACAGGCTGAAATGAATGGGGACAAATTGAGATCAAGAAGAACAAACTGGAACCTGCTTCTGTCTCTCACCATGTCTACCCTCAATGCTGTGGGTGACCTGCAGGAGAAGCTGGCACCCATCACTATACAGCACACACACCTGGCCTAGGACTCAGAGGAGCCAAAGGAGGAGACCAGGTGAGAGTTGGAGCAAAGTTGGATCACCACATAAGTCAGTGGTAGATAAACAACAACTTTCAGCTTGGCTAAGTTGACATAGTACCAAACTGCCCCAGAGCAGCGGCAAAACTTCCAGTATAAGCTGAGCTTATTTGTATAGTTGTGAGCAAATAAACAAGAGTTATTTTAGGTCGATGAAGAAGAGATGCAATGGGAAAGATACACCCTGTTCTCTTATGGATTTTTTTTTCTCCCAAGATCTAATTTTCAGGTAAGGGTGCAAGTATAAATTGTAATGTTATGGAATCTGAGTAGTGACGTATTTAAGTATTATAAAATATAAAACATAACCAAGTTTTATTTTCTAGCTACCACACTGACAATTTGCTGAACAAAATATCAATTTCTTGATAGATCCCTTCACCTGTGCTACTTGTTTTTTTAAAAATATTTATTATCAGCCCTAGCTGGTGTGGCTCAGTGGATTGAGTGCTAGCCTGTGAACTAAAGGGTCATCGGTTCGATTCCTAGTATAGGGTGCATGCCTGGGTTGCAGGCCAGGTCCCCAGCAGGGGGCATGCAAAATGCAACCACACATTGATGTTTCTCTCCCTCTCTTTCTCCCTCCCTCACCCTCTCAAAATAAATAAATAAAATCTTTTAATAAAAGTATTCTTTATAAAATTTATTAATTTTTATTAATAAAATAATTGATGTTAATTAAATGCAATTATACTATAAAAGAAGTCATGCACAAGATATAAAGTATTTGAACCAATACAGAAAGTTGATGAAAAGTTAGTCATCATTCATCTCCTCATCTCTCCTCATTTAAAAGGTCTTCACCAATTTTTTTAATGTGTCTCTGAATGTTTTATGTATCTCTAAATTGCTTTTAATTTTTTTTAATTTTTATTGATTAATTTTAGAGAGAAAGGGGAAGTGGTGGGACATAGATTTGTTGTTCCATGTATTTACGCATTCATTGGTCGATTCTTGTATGCGTCCTTGTATGTGGGGACTGAACCCGCAACCTCGGCTTGCTGCT